GAGTTACATGCAACAGTAACACTTACTCCTTTCTGGCATTTACCGGCATATAGCAGATAAACCCCCTAAAAGGATGCATTAAACCTCACAACTAACACCCAAGTCCCATCTTGAATTGGTCAGATTCAGCAAAAGCAACACAGAAATATTTGCTTCCTTCATAATTTGCTGGAATTTGCATTCTATTTGCATGAAGACTATTGGCAGAAAATAACTGGAAACAGCTGCTTTTGCTTTTTGCTCTCTTGCTGGTTTTATTGCATTTCTATCTTTCTCTGAAAAAAAAAATGAATGACCCTTCTTGAAGGGACAAAGAAATTACTCTTTCTCCTGAGAGTTGTAGCTATTCCATTTTCACTTAAGTGTTCTCACCAAAAGCAAGAGGCAGGAGTATTTTCTCCATGTCAGGAAACCTGCCCATTCCCTGCTTGTACAAACACTAAGACAGAAATTCTTTTACAAACCTTGGCAGACAAGTATTTATGTTTAGTGACCCAAGTGTGATCACATGGATTGTCTTTCTAACTCTACATAGAGCAGAGCCTGCACTAACCAGCAGGTGCCTGGTTAGTGATGCCAACCTACCATGGATGGTAGGATGCTCCAGCATGGGACCCATGTGAGAAAATCTACGCAGGTGAGGCTGGAACCACCCCGCTCGGCATGCACAGCTCGGCACAGAGCCAGTCCTGAAACCCAGCAAGGAAACGGTGCAAAGATGAGAGCAGCCCCCCACGCTCCTCCTCCGGGCAGCTCTGATTACAGGTCTGCTCAGGCAGAGAGCAGGACCAACTCCCACCTCTGCAGGGAGGCACTTCTTGCACAAGATGTGTCGGCGGTGCGTGATGTGCAGTGTAGCCTGCACACCATTCTGCATGTGCAGTGCAGCAGTTTGCACCCTGTCCTGTGTGTTGCACCCTGTCCTGCATGTGCAGTGCAGCTTGCCCCATCTTGCATGTGCAGTGCAGTGCAGCTTGTACCATCCTGTGATGTGCAGTGCAGCTTACACCCCATCCTATGTGTGCAGTGCAGCTTGCACCTCATCCTGCGTGTGCAGTGCAGCTTGCACCTCGTCCTGCGTGTGCAGTGTAGTGCAACTTGCACGCTACCCTGCATGTGCAGTGCAGCACAGCCTGCAGCCTGTCCTGTGTGAGATGTACAGTGCTGTCTAGCTTGCACCCCGTCCTGTGTGCAGTGCCGTCCAGCTTGCACCCTGTCCTGCATCGGCAGTGCAGCTTGCACCCCATCTTGCATGTGCAGTGCAGTGCAGCTTGCACCCTGTCCTGCGTGTGCAGTGCTGTCCAGCTTGCACCCCGTCCTGTGTGTGCAGTGCAGCTTGCACCCCGTCCTGTGTGTGCAGTGCAGTGGAGCTTACACCCCGTCCTGCATGTGCAGTGCAGCTTGCACCCCGTCCTCTGTGTGCAGTGCTGTCCAGCTTGCACCCTGTCCTGCGTGTGCAGTGCAGTGGAGCTTACACCCCATCCTGTGTGTGCAGTGCAGTGGAGCTTACACCCCGTCCTGTGTGTGCAGCACAGCTTGCACCCCGTCCTGCGCGCCAGCCCTGCAGCTGCGCCAGCCCTGCGGAGGGGCCTGGTGCCTGCAGGGAGCGGCAGAGGCCCCTGCCGAGTCCATCCTGTGTCCAGGCACCTGGTGGATGGGAAGTAAAGGGATGAGGATGACTGTGGCCCTGTCCCCCTTGGCCTGCAGAGGCCGATGGCTGCTCCCCACGGCTGGTGATGGCTCATGGAGACCTCGGGCAAGTGCGATGCTCTCAGCACGAGGCTCGGCCTCGCTGCACACCCCGCTTCGTTTCCTCGCCCCGCCATGTTCTTTGGAAACATCCAAACTAGGCCGGTGTTAATAGCAGAGGTCTTTATTTAATTTTTTTTTATATACAGTAAAAGTGTCACAGATTAATCTGTGACAATCAGACAAGACAAATGTAAATCTCTCTCAACAATTAGCAGCTTAAGATCTATAAACTACAGTGTTACGTTCACAAGTGTCATTTCTGTACTGTTCAACCCGTGCAAGTGAGTTTTTCTGTTTATTTTTTACACTTTTAAAACACACTTACAGCTAAGTCATTTGCCTACCACTATACCACCTGGCATACACAACACAGACACACAGGGGTTTAACTCTTCAGCCATATTCAGAATTCACTTAGAAACCGTCAAACTACCCGATCTTGAATCCTTTGTAGCTTGGCTTCTTTTGTTATAATGCTGCTTTGTGTTTACTTAGAAAATGCTTAATTTTTGAAGCTGAAAGACAGCATCTTTTCTGTCCCGTACATGTACAAACTCAGTTATTTAATCTGTTCAGACTCTAAGAACTCACGAGACTGGAATAAGCCAATGAGATAATTGCAGTGAGCATGCTCAGTATCATGAACTAATGAGGCTGAAAGAGAATTTTACCAAACTAAAAACGGCAGGTTTTTTTGGTCAGGATTTTTTTTTTTGTCATTGAGAAGCAGATGGGGAAACAGATGCACTTTGCTTGAACCATGGGATTTCACCGAAAAGCTGCTGCTTTTTTGAACCAACAGAGCCCACTATAGTCTTCCCTTTTTACACGCCAAGTTGATATGTGCTAAATGTATCTAAGCAATTTCAGAATTGTCTCCACCCTGAATACGAAATGTTTTGGGAAACATTCTGTAACTCGGCGATAGTCACAAAAAAGTTCACGTACAGGAGAGAGGCTAATAGAAGGGATTCACACACGCACACCCACATCCACGGGGAAACTCTCTTCTACGAGTCATCCAGGAAAGCTTCATCAAGGAAGCGAGCACAACCACTTACAAGGAAGGGGAGCTTTAAAGCTAGAATCACATTTCTAACAAGAGAACCATGGTGAAGTATCAGAAATTGTCACAGACCTCCAAATCAGAGAGGGAAAAAACCCCAAAGAGTTCTGCTAATACGCAAGGCAAAACACATGGCAGTAGTGTTAGGATATGAAAAGTGGATGCAGCATCATATATGGCATTACTGCAGATAACTTTCTGGAATGGAAAAACTGTCGAGAGAGAGAGAGACAGACAGACATTGTCCAGAGCCACGTACAAATGGCCTTCCCCAAACAGTTTTGAGGTGAAAAGTTTCCACTAAGCCCATGCCTTCTGGCAAGTTAGCAAATAGTTCCCTAAGAGACTACATGACTTTGGGATGGAGAGAAGAGGGACAAATACTTCCTCCAAACAGGATGAGTATGCGGTACTAAGCATCCAGATTCACTAGATGTCCAACGCCCTGTTGGTCAGCCCATGTTGGTCTGATCACATATGAAACCTGCCATGAGCTCTTTTAGTGTGATCAAAGAAAAACAGATGTGCAAAGGCCAGGTATCAGAAACAAAGGCAACAAAGCTTTTCAGTGCCATACCAAGCCACTTCTCACTGCTAACCCCACCTTTGTTTCTGACAAAACCTACATAATGGGAACGTGAAAATCATCTGTCTTGTCAGTATGGGCCATAGGAGGGTAGCAAATGGAGTGGAGCTTCATTGGAGCTAAAGTAGGGTCTAGGGAGGGAAAGTTTTTGCAATCCTTGCTCTGTCTGCAACTCTGTAGAAAGAAGAGTGATTATTTTTGGCTTGAGTCAGTTGCAATTGGCAATTTGTATTGTAATGAGGACAGGAGCAGATCAGTGCATGGGAGGCAAAGGGAGGTGCGCTGAGATCCCTGGGGAGATGGGGTACCTGAGTTTCAAGACAGAGCTCTGGTGATGGAAACAACACAGACTCTTCAAAGGAAGGATGGTTGGGTAGTGGAGACCTTGTCTCTGCCAGCCATCCAAAGACCTTCAAGAGTGTTAACCGATTTTGGGAAAATTTCTCAGGGCCCAGAGTTCCATCACAGCATAAACTCCTAGGCTTCCATCTATATCCMCGGAACTTTTGCATCACAGACATTTGTGTATGCTCTCAACTATTCTAGGTCACTTGGGGAACATTTGGTTCCTAGATGGAACTTAAGCCTGGAAGGAAGGAAAAGAGCAGGATCTAACTAACCACCACAAATGGTGCAAAAAAAGAGATTCCAGGAGTCTTTTTGGATTTCATTCACACGGAAACTGAACTTGTCTTTGCTAGAGTGGAAAGAGATGTTCCACCTGTTAAAAAAACCCAAGAGAACCCATGTTCCTCAGGCACGAAGGCTGGTGACCAGCAGAGATGGGTCACCCGCAACAGCGTGTTGCTGGGCCGCGCGAGCTGCACTTGCCCTTAGTGCTGCGATGCGGTGCCTATGCCAAGCAGGGCCTGCGCGTGGAAGGGAAGGGCGCTGCCTCTGCCTCACTACGTGGACACGGCGACAAGGATCTCGGCAGACATGCAGACACTCTGACCAGAGTGATAGTAGGAAAACTTTGGCTTCACTTTTTAGACGATTATTTTAAAACTACATCAGGGATATTTCCGAGAGAATCATTCCTTAAAGTGGACTGTCAATTCAGTATTTCTTTCTTCAGAAGAATCTGTCTTTTCCCTGGGAAGGGATGAAGAGAAATTCCTTGTTTTCATCCAGAGGCCAAGAATGAGAGATCTGGACATGAGAAATACAAATATATTTTCCCTCACATCTGGAAAAAAAGATTAAAAAATGCATGACAAACTGTGTAGATAGATGGTTTTTATGATGCTGCATCTGCATGCACAGGAGGACAGAAACATGGCCTATGAACAGCACTGCACTCCAGACAGGCTGGTGCTAGAAACTACTCTCTGCCCTCCTCAAAACTGTTTCAGGACAAGACGGCTCACAATTATTCACGCATTTCTTCATTTAAAAACATCACTTCTTTATTTAAAAGGAAAAAAAAATAATGACCCTCCCAAATCCCTTCCAAAAAAACCCCAATAATAATAATAATAATTATAATAAAAAATCCTATTAGAAACAATAAGGAAGCACTGAGAGTTTGAGTATTACACTCTTCAAGTATGCTGTTTGGATTTTTTTTAATCTGTGAATATACATATATAAAAAAAACCTCAAAAGTGCGACCAAGGGCTTCTGTTTAAAGACAAGTATTTAAAGGACTACTTCAAAATACTGTAGCACAACTGTGCAGTTACTGTGTATGGCATGAGGCTTCCATCTCATATGCTCAGCAAAGTTAACCAGCCTTATAGGAAACTACTGTAAGTCAGGTTAGCACAAATGGCAAACCCAGGTGCTGAGTTGGGAGAGAAATCCATATGTTGCTTTTCTCCGTTAAGGAAAGAAACCACTCTGAACCCATAGATTTGGGCATGGAATGTGAGCAGACTTCACAGTAAAAGCTTAGTGTTACCGGTTTGCTGTGGTGCCTTCACTTACGGCTGTGCGCTAGATTTAGCTTTGCTCATTTTAAGCTAACCACGTTTTCCTCTTCCTGACAGGTTAAGTACAGCAGTTCAAGCCACAATTTAAATAGCCCATTGGTATGCTCCAAATTTGTGTATTTTATTTATTTCTTTTGTACACTTTGAAGAATTAAGATTTGCATCCAAAGAGAACCATGCTACATAAAAATTATCCAGGATTCTCACCAAAAAGAGTTCTTGAATAAAATCTAAAAAATACTATTGCAATGCGTCTCGCAGAGAAAAACTGTTATTCTAAATGTAAACAAATTCACTCGGACACTTTAAAACTTCAGCGCAATAGCTGCTGACTAATCTTTGCCACGCTCGCGCCCGCGGGCGCCGGGAGGGCGACGCAGCGACTCCTCGCGCCATCATCTAGGGGGGGACAAGAACCGTTCCAAGTAGCCCGTAATGGCGTCCCAGTGCTTCCACAGAAAGGCAATGAAAACCACTATGAATAAAGTGCTGAACGTCCTATTGCGAGTCTTCATGAGGGGCACGACGCAGTTGGCCACGGTGGAGACGAAGACCAGGAGGACAGCCATGACGGCCAGGAGGATGTTGATGAACTTGCCCAGCAGGTTCCTGGCCGTGGCGTTCTCCAGCCCCTCCAGCTGCACCACCTGCTGCTGCTGCTGCTGCAGCTCCATCTTGGAGATGCGGGTCTGGCAGGCCTCCAGAGCCTCCTGTGGGCAGAACACACAGCCCGTTGCCACAGCCCTGGGGCTGCGCCGCGCGCTGYGCCCCGAGCTGCTGGCTGGCCCCTGCACACAGGGAGCCGGGCCGCTCGCTTAGGCAGCACGAGGAGCAGGGCCCTGGCTTGCACGTGAGAGCTCCACGAGGCGGGAGGGGACACGCTGGCTGCCGCTCGCCCTCAGTGGCCTGTGCATGCACAGGGTCACCTCAGAGCTTACCCCCTTCCTCTCCTCTGGGGACCGAGGGACAAGGACACTGAGGCCCCTCGGCAGGCAGCGGCCTCCCCGTGCCCAGCGCCGTGCCCAGAGCTTGCTGCGCTGCGCTTTCAGGGACCGGCGAGGGCGTGTGCCCCTCCTCGCAGTGCTCTCCAGCAGCTCTCACCTCTTGTGTTTCATGTAAGGAAACTTAACATTCACTTTTCCCTCAGCAGCACTGAGTCTGTCTTAATTTGTAAGGTTACATGAAAAGTGCTGAATCATAAAGTGAAAAATAATTTWAAAAAAATCTACTGAGAACACCCATTTCAATTTAAGCTTTCTATCTTACTTCTTCCTGTTCTGTTAAGTTAGAAAGGAGAACAAAATTCAAATATTGCAACACTCCCCAAAGCAAAAATCTGCTGTTTACTCTATCAGAGGCCATGGCACCGCTGTCCCCAGACACTGATTTATTTTAACCTTAACTTAAAGGTCACTGTCACCTGTTGCATTTCTCTGCTGTTGCATAATGTCTGTGGAGACCCATGAAACATGAGGGCTTCTCTTTAGTTATATTACTTGAAAAAACAGGTAAAACTGATGAGCCTGTTCTAGCAGCAGGAACCTGAAAGGTCACTGAATCAACTCAACTTGCAGCTGGATCTCTAAGGCTGCCAAAAACAAAAAGCCTGCTTTGTCTCCAGAGGAAATCACCTGGCTGCAGCGCCTTCGGGGGGAGGAAAGAGCAAGAACTTTGACCTACAACTCCCAGCTCAAGCTATAAATACCTCAAGCCAGCTATCAAACTGAGATGCCTCCTAAAACTGACATCAACAAGGATTTAAAGCAGAAGATAGATGATAGATTTCTGAATTGGCCTTTACAAAGTTTAGCTACTGCTCAGATCATGTCCCAGGGGCTCTGGCTCCTTCCGGGTCTGTGGAGTCCCCTCCAGCTTTATAACCCTTATCCAACAGCCTTGGACTTTCACATACTAGGGGAAATTTCACTCTGAAGAACAGCTCCTTATTTGGGCAAAGCCAACAGAATGATCTGTTTCCTGACCCCATGCAGTGGATACACAAAGCCAACTACCATTTTTTCCTTAGGCATCTGTGGTGACTGCTCTAAAATTAATGACAGACAAACACACCCTAGATCAGTTTATTGGGAACACTACTGTAAAAAAAAAAAGTTTTTTAATGTCAAGCTTATTATTTTCCAATCCAAACAAAAATCTTTAAATATAGCCAGTGCCAATGGTGGGTATAGGCTCCCATTGTGCTGTAATATATTTTAAAATCCTACTGTGGAGCAAGTGCCAGGACCCGCTCAACATGAATGTGCCTGCACGTGAGTGCACACACTCCTGCTCCCAAAGGAGGTTCCTACAAGAGACCCCTGAGGGCCAGGCACTGCACAGAGGTCTCTCAGAAATCCTTAAGGTACAGTTGTGCAGTGAAGTCAAGGGATTAAAAACAAATACTGACACAACGAAGTATCTCTTTGCCTTCTTCTTTGCCTCTGTCTTTACTGCTAAGACGACTCCCCATGAACTGCAGGGCACAAAGGGAAGAGATGTAAATGGGCTAGAAGAAGACCTTCCACGGGTTGAGAAGGATTGGGTTAGGGATCACTTAGGCAAATTGGACACTCAAAAATCTATGGGCCCAGATGGGATGCACCCAAGAGTGCTGAGGGAACTGGCCGAGGTTATTGCTCAGCCTCTCTCCATCATCCTTGAGAGGTCCTGGAGAGCAGGGGAGGTGCCCGAGGACTGGAAGAGAGTCAACGTCACTCCAGTCTTCAAAAAGGGCAAGAGGGAGGAGCCGGGCAATTACAGGCCGGTCAGCCTCACCTCTGTCCCTGGAAAGGTGATGGAGCGGTTCATCCTAGAGAGAATCTCCGGGCACATGGCGGAGAAGAAGCTGCTGAGGAGCAGTCAGCATGGATTCACCAAGGGGAAGTCATGTCTGACGAACCTCATAGCCTTCTATGATGGGGTGACAGGCTGGCTGGATGAGGGGAGAGCCGTGGATGTTGTCTACCTTGACTTCAGCAAGGCTTTTGACACTGTCTCCCATAACATCCTCATACGGAAGCTCCGGGAGAGTGGGCTAGACGAGTGCACGGTGCGGTGGATCGAGGGCTGGCTGGATGGCAGAGCTCAGAGGGTGGTCATAAATGGGGCCGAGTCCAGCTGGAGGCCTGTGGCCAGTGGTGTCCCCCAGGGGTCAGTACTGGGCCCAGTGCTGTTCAACTTGTTTATCAATGACCTGGACGAGGGCACGGAATGCACCCTGAGCAAGTTTGCGGATGACACCAAGCTGGGTGGAGTGGCCGACACTCCGGAGGGCTGTGCTGCCATCCAGAGGGACCTGGACAGGCTGGAGAGCTGGGCAGAGAGGAACCTCATGAGGTTCAATAAGGACAAGTGCAGGGTCCTGCACCTGGGGAGGAGTAACCCCAGGCATCAGTACAGATTAGGGGTGGACCTGCTGGAAAGCACCTCCATGGAGAGGGACCTGGGAGTCCTGGTTGACACTAAGTTAACCATGAGTGAGCAGTGTGCCCTCGTGGCCAAGAAGGCCAATGGGATCCTGGCCTGCATCAGGAGGAGTGTTGCCAGCAGGTCAAGGGAGGTGTTTCTGCCCCTCTACTCAGCTCTGGTGAGGCCGCACCTGGAGCACTGTGTTCAGTTCTGGGCTCCCCAGTATAGGAGGGACGTGGAGCTTCTGGAGAGGATCCAGAGAAGGGCAACCAGGATGATTAAGGGAATGGAACATCTCTCGTATGAAGAGAGGCTGAGTGAGCTGGGCCTGTTTTCTCTGGAGAAGAGACGGCTCAGAGGGGATATGATTAATATGTATAAGTTCAGGAAGGGAGAATGCAGGGAGGAAGGGGACAGGCTGTTCTCACTGGTGGCCAGCGATAGGACGAGGGGTAATGGCCACAAACTGAAGCATAAGAAGTTCCGTCTCCAGGTGAGGAGCAACTTCTTTACTGTTAGGGTGACAGAGCAGTGGAACAGGCTGCCCAGGGAGGTTGTGGAGTCTCCTACTCTGGAGGTCTTCAAAACCCGCCTGGATGCCACCCTGTGCCACATGCTCTAGGYGTGCCTGCTTGAGCAGGAAGGTTGGACTAGATGATCTGTAGAGGTCCCTTCCAACCTTAAATATTCTGAAATATTCTGAAATATTCTGAAATATCTCAAAAGCAAAGGAGTAGTTACTGAAAGAGCATGTGAAAGAAAGGCCGTGAGTCCTCGCTTCTGTGACCCACCTGGATGTCCCGGGCTCGCTCATAGGACTGATAGGCAATTTTCTCCTCCATGCTGGCCAGTTCCTGTTTTAAATTCAGGATCTCATTCTGATGGAGCTCAGTCAGGTCATTTAGTTGATCTTCTAGTCTTTCACATCTAGAAATGGGATAACAGCTTTTATGAGAAGAGACAGGTAAAATTACACTGGCAACAAAAGAACAATGACTTTCCGTTTGCTTTGATTTTTTTTGAAAACTAGTGTGGTGAGCTCAAATATTACACCTATATGCTTTACAAACAACGTCAGATTTCCTCATGTGGAAATACGGAAAACCTTTCCACTAGGTGGAATGGTGTTAATCCTATTTTACAACAGGGGAAAACCACGCAGAGAGGTTAAATGACAAGCTTCAAGGGATATAAGCAATCAAGAAGCAAATTAGGGACAGATTTTTTTTATTTTCATTACTTTTAACTGGACTAAGCTCCCATCTAACACCATATACTCCTAAGCACTCGGCCTTCACTCCCAACAGCTGCAGGCATGACAGTGACACCACACTTCAATGCAGCTGGCCTCTCTGAGAGTGGGATGGTCCTGCTTGTCCTTCACAGGTGAAGCCAGATGCATGACAGTGATTTCTTTACTATTTATATTATTTTTAAGAAGGGCACATGACTAATGTTTTATCAACAGTGAACGCATTGGGAGCAGTGCAGAGGAAAGGGGTTGCACAAAACTCAGAGTAAGTCTAAGGAAGATAAAGGTATTTCTCTCATTGACAGAGTTTTAAGTTAATATCAATGATAGATTCATGTTACTGTAGCAATTTCAAAATGCACTAGGGACATTTTCCATAAGTAAGTAGCTCTTCATTTTTAGAATTTTAAGTGCTTTACAAGCAAACCATGTTTGAACACCTTTGAAAATATACTCCTTCCAAAAGGTAAACACAAGTATGAATGAAGCCACTGGCCCAAGGGCCACAAATGCTGAGTTAGGTACAATCGAGACCAGCATCTTCCCTTAAGTTTCCCCACCGGATTCTCATTCTTAGTTCATTACGCGTGACAGCCCTGATGGTTACTTAGGCAGGGATAGAGCTATCTTGGACGTTGGGGTTTTACCACTTGGTTGTCTGCTCATGATAACAGCATGGAAAAAGCTTAACAGCATTGCCTTTGTAATCTGACCCTTGACACAAATAACTGGGAAATCCATAGGGCATTCAGCATGTAGATATAATTTCTTGTTTCAAATTCAGTTTCCCTCTTCCTCCCTATGACTTTAATTTATACAAGTATACACACACAAAGAATGCATAAACAATACTTATCTACTAACTAGAGTTTCATTATAAGTTCTGAAACTAGCAAAGCCAAGAGGTACTTGGCTACTTCCATTTTTCCCAAAGTGTTCAGTACTTCACCAACTAAATGTTCAGAATTCCAAGGAATAAGCTGGCCTTTGGAAATGGGCTGGGGTTTTGTTCTAAATGAAGATTCAGAAGAGACTTTCCCTTTGGGTCACTGTGAAGTATTCCTTTGAACTACGGGAGAGGACTCAGACTCTGCATGGCAATCTCCAGCCGTGAGCAGCACCTGTGGTGACCTGGAGCAAGACCAGGACAACCCCCAGCTCACAGCTCAGCCCAGAAAGGTGCCGAAAGGGCTGCAGAAACTGGAGCAGGGCAGAACAGGACACACAAAAATAATGGTTTCCCAAGAACCAAAAGCTGCAGACACAGCGACTGCAATGTGATGACTGGCTAATAAGCAGCCCAGATATTTATTATTACCATTTGTTACCACCCTGTTTAAAAAAAATAACTTGCCAACCACCAAGAAAGCAGGACCAAAATCAATTCAAAATCTCAATCTTAGCATAAATTACACCAAATATATTCAGTTTGCTAATATATTTCAATTTTCTCCCATGGGTTTATCAAACAAAAAAGGAACTTAAACATTTCAGAAAATATCCTGATTATGTCTTTTGCCCTCCTCCCACATAAACACGTTGCATAAAGCAGCTGTTGCCAGGCAGCTTAAATCCTGTTCTCTAACAACAAACAATTATATTTTAATAACTTCAATGCTACCTCAATCTACAGGAAGCACAAGGCAACCTTCCAAATCCGTACATTTAACAGTCTGAGCACAACACAATTGGCCCGACGTCGGCTGCAGCCCTCCCGCCCCGAGCGCAGGGCTCGGAGCTCGACCCATGGCCACGTTGGCTGCGCGGAGCCTCCCTGCCCCTTGAACGCCGTCTCCTGCGCACCCACGAACAACCCGTGGGCTTCGCAGCCTGCTCCTGGCACGTGAGGCAGTGCGGAGATGGGTTACGAAATCCCTAAAGAAATCACTTAACCTCTGTTCACCTTCTTTTCATCCTTGCCACTTCATCCACATTATAGAGAACACTTTTTTCCCCTCTGTTCCTCTGTACTGCTTTTCCAATACAAAAAGCTAAGATTAGTTCATGTGCGTTACAGATACAGAAATTGTTTCTTTCTGAAGAAGAGATGGTTCAGATTTAATTCAGGTGTACTGCAAAAAGAAAATGGGTAAGATACCAGCCAAGAGGGTTAGGACTTAACTCTCACTTCCCTCTCCCAACAGCATCTATGCAAGAGACTAATACTACCTGTAAAAACAGCCAGGCCTCAGCTGAGGCAAGTTCTAGTTCAGGTACTGAAATGCCTCATCAGAGCCTAAGAATTATTTTTTAACTGGCTAAAATTAAATTTTCTCTTATAATTACTGGTGTATACATAAACAAGCTGCAGCATAAAACTTTTCTGTGGAGCGGTGACCATCGCCACAAGTATCTTGGCATCAGAGGTAGCACGACATGAGCAACGGAGACGCCCCCCCACTACTGGAGTGCTCACTTAAGTCACACGATATGGAAACACACAACAGGAAAGTCATGTTAGATTTTCACCCATTTGCTGAGGCTATTTGGGAGCCAGGGAACTGACCTGAAAAATGTCAAGAAAAACAACAATGACAATATCACTTCTTAAGAGCCCTGGGGCATTTTAAAGTAAGAGCTGTAAAATGCAAAGCTAACAAGCATATGTAAGACAAAGATAGGACAGTGACACTGTTTTATCTGCACTGAGCAAGTGCTCTCACAAAGGAAGAAGCTGCCTGAGCTGAAGCAGAAAGATCTTTACAGCATGCAGTGAACTGAGTCCAAGACCTCTCTCTACAAGCACATCTTCCAGGATGGACTTCTTTTTTATCATATGTTTTAAAATAACTACTTCATATAGAAACTTTTTTTTTTCACTTCTGTTATCCAAAATATGTTTTTATGCTACTGAACACACTGCTTCCAACTCTGGAGCAGTAGCTAAAAGCAGTATCTATTTGCAGTTTACTCCAAGTCTATATAGGTGCACGCAAGGGAGAGAGCTCACTCTAGGCCAGTGTTTATGCTGTACTTGTAGCTTGGAAGCCTTCCCTGCTGGAAGGATACAGCTTTGCAGGAATGTTTTGGTGCTTTCACACCTGGGTGAGGATCCTTCTGACTAAGTATGCAGATTTCTTTGCCCTGGCAAACTGTAGAAAGCACGTTTCACCATTCTGGATCTCAAAGGTTTAGTGTGTTTAATCTTAAAAAAAAAAAAGAAAAAAAAAAAGAAAAAAGAAAAAAAAAGAAGAAGAAATCCAACAATTAGACTACAGCAAAAATAGGTAAAATAAAAACTAAAGCTTCTTGCACTTGGGCTGATCGATTTTAGCAAAGAGGAACATGGGAGATCTAAATGCACTTTCCAAGGATGCTGGTTTGGGAAAAAACAAACGTTGGGCTGGCGGCATTTCAAAAATGTGAGCTCATGCTTTCAATGTGTGCAAAGAGGTTCCTAAAGGGACAAGAAACATGAAAATACTCATTGGGAACTTTATTTAGTCCAGCAGCACAGAAAGTCCCTGCTTCTATCAGTAAACAAGTGCCACCTCCAGCTGATGAGATAAGCCGGGGGCTATTTGAGCCGCCAGGACGGCTGGGGCCTGACTCTTCCTTCCTGATGACGCACCCGCAGACGCCCCGGGGCCCTGAGAGAACCAGGCCCGGAGCAGGCTGAGCACCCACCCAGCCACTCTGCTGACTGATGGCACGATCTGGAGCTGGGGAAGGGAGCAAGGAGGCTGCCTGTGTCATGGAAAACCTGCAGGGCAAGTCAAGCTGACAGAGGGGAATGCCTACAACGGAAAACACCAGAGTCTGCAAAAAGGAGAAAAGCTAAGAAAGAGGAAGAGAACAAAGTGCGAGGAAGCACTGTGAAGCCTGCTTTCCCCTAGCTGCCAGGTATAACACACGGAGTCAGCACAGGCTCCTCTAAACACTTCCTTTTTTAAGCGATAGCAGCACACAGTGCTCCACAGTGCTCATTTTCCAAAGCTCCCCAGAAATAGAACATGGGTATGAGGTATTTATAGCTTTTAAAGGCCAGTTATGATTAATTTGAATCCCAAGCCTCCCAGCTCCAAACCACAACCTCCATTCCCAGCTTCTGTTTTCGTCAGGAGGCAGAGAGCAGGTCACTAGTGAGGGAAGCAGGTGCCCGCCTGTCCAGGCAGGCCAGGAGCCAGCAGCTCCCTCCATGGCCCTGGACACAGCACCCAGCCTCCCTGCTTTGGTCTCCCGATCTCAAGGTGATGCTAGGTTTTATCTTCATGGCGCTTTAAAGACATGCATGAACTTGGTTTTCTGCAACAAGGTTGGTATTTGCCTCTCTGTGATTAATCCATGAGCTCTCTGCGGGTCGTGCATACCTGCGCGTCTCTGCAAACCTGTAGAGGCAATGGCACTTAACACAGTGTAACCAGGCTCCTGCAAAGGCCACACCTTTAACTCATGTCAACTTCCCAAACAGCGAGTCTAAGTCACTACCTGTTTTACACGTTTATAGGTCACATGCAGCTTCTCTGGGGAGCATTTGTACTCCAGGCTGCCKCAAGCAGCGGTTGGGCTCTGGGCTTGCATGCAGGCAACAGCCAGTAGATGCAAACGGTGTATAACATATGCCTTTATATTGGACAGGAGGGAAGACTCCATGAACCCTGCTGAACGGGTCCAGGACAGCCCTCCTGTCCAGCCAACAACTCCCGCCAAGGTCCCACCACACCCGCTGGCGCTCAGTGCACCGTGCGTGCGCATGGTGCATCCTCATGGTGCGTGCTCTGCGAGCTACACACCCAACAGCAGCCGCCGCCAGACCCGCTCTGCTCCATGTCACTTCACTCCATGGCAGCGGAACCACAAAACCAAAGCTGCTGTGTGGGCTCCGGTGTCAGCTGAGCAGCTGGTCGTTGCAAAGCCATGTTGGTCTGTCTTTGTCAACCCAGTCTTGCAACGCACATGGAGAGCTTGCTGTCTTTACACGATCCGGGTAGGCTAGGTCTGTCCAAATACGCTTCTCAGTAATTTGGCACCAGCACATCTGAGAAGTCCCATGGCTGCTCTGTGCTGTGTGAATGGCACAGCACGCAGAGCATCGCAGTGCCAGCCTTTGCACCAGGGCAGCGTGGAGCCTCCCCCGCTGTGCTGCCTGGCCTCTGTCTGACCCTTCCTACACCACCGTCCTACCCCAGAGCAAGGAGCTGCGTCCCTCGTGTTTCTCACAAAGTTCGTATCGTGCCGCTTGAGACTCACATGGCATTTAGACTGCGGTGTGCTGAGCAGCTGTCTGAAGGCAGCCCTGCAACCCCCGCAGGGGAGCCCCATGATCAGATGAGCTACCGGTAGCACCGCAGCAGCTCCACCACCTTTCCATTCCTCACAGTAAGGACAAGACTCACTAAAATATGGGGTCATCTGCTCCCAGACCCTATCTCCTCCAGAACAAGAATACCACTAGTAGTTAGTCTCATTTCATTAAATTCTTGCTGTTCCAGAGCAACAGAAGGGCACGGTACATCCTGGCTTTGGTAGCGGCCAGAGCATGCCTGGGGACAGCCCTGAAAAAGTGAGATATTTCTTTCTCTGATAGAAGTGAATCTGAGTGTTGGAGGAGGCAGAATCAAGATATTGTCTGCATGTACTCTCCTGCCATGTCCCAGACCTTGCAGGCTTTCTTTTCCTAGGGAAAAGCAGGGTGCAGAAAACACTAGCTGCATCAATGTACTCCCAGTTCTTTGAGACATCTTTTTAATTCTCTTTGGCTTGCTCTTTTACCTTGGAAAGGTTAAGAAATAACTTTTCCCTCTGCAGAAAAGGGAGATGAGCAGTGGGTCAGCAGCATTTATATAGGCAAAGTTAGGAAGGTGAGGTAGCGAGAACACTAAGAAGGAGCTTCATCACTCATTCGAATCAGCCTTGCCACATGCTGCCCAGGGCTCTGGTGTGGCACAGTTGGCAGTACTTAATATGGCAAACAAGTAAAAAAGTACTTACCTGTACCGCTCCTCTTGCAGAGTCTGCATTATTAATGAGTAATCCCTCTGATAACGAACCTTCAGATCCTCGAACGATTCTTCCAGTCTTGCCTGTGTCTCTCGAATTTCTTGAATTTCATGTAGTATTGCATCAAACCCTGAGCTCTGCACATCCAGAGTGTTTGTTTTGGAGCTAGAAGCTCCCACAGGGGCCCCTGTGGTGCTGTTGGCCCCCACAGAGCCCGACGTGGCACTGGAACAATCCTCTTCACTTCCATATTTTGGACTTGACTGAAAGTTCTGAATAACACCTAGAGCCTTGCCTCCTGCCCCATCTTCCTGGCCTTCCTCTAAGGAATCTTTCAGGTTAGCAATATTGTCTGCACTCCCAAACTTGTTCCTTATAAGAGAGGCAATCTCCCGAGGTTTGGAAACCACAGCTCCGGCTGCGGAATGCGTGGCTTGGGAGAAACTAGAAAGTCCACCTTTAACACTGTCTACTACACCCTCGCTGAAGCCAGTGACCTTTGCTCCGACATCCTTCAACCCCTGATGCATATCCCTGAACACATCCTTCGGCTGCCGAGGGATCCCGTTCTGCTCAATCTCTCGCAGCTTCCGGTGGTAATGTTCTAGTTTCTTCTGCAGCTGCAGGATGGTCTGGGCTGACTTCTGATTCTTCTTCTCAAACACTTGCTTGATACGGGCGCTCTGCTGCTTGTCAGCATTGTTGGCCAGTTTCAGGTACTCCGCCACATTGTTATCACGGGCCGTTTGTTCGATTTTAATCTGCTCAGTCAGCTTCAAGATCTTTTGCTGCAAGTGAGTGATGGCCACTTTTGTGCGCTGAGGGTCTGGGGTCCCATCAATGGAGTCAGCGTTGATGCTGCCATCAGTGCTCGAGGCGACCGCGCTGGAGGTCTGGGCAAGGCTGCTGACTTCCAACCGCTCGATCTAGACAAGGAGAGAGACAAGCATGAGTACAACCATGGGCTTCATGAGCGTGGACACCTCCTTTCTCCTACTGACCCACCTGCCAGTGGGCCTAAGTCTGCAAGAGGGAACCTCTGCATAAATAAACTTTAATCCTCAACACGCACACACAAAATAGATCTATGCATGCTTTACCAGCATCTAGTGGAAGCTAAGGAAAAAGTAATATCCCAAGCCAGTAAGACCACTGGCCTTGAACAAGTGAAAATTCAAGCAGAAAGGAGGAAGGAAACCAGGGTTTGGGAGCCCAAGTTCTGGGAAGTTTTGACATGTGACTATCAGTAGCTGAGTAGAAATGTAGAGACATCCGTGAGAGCAGGGAGCATCCGCACCAAACGTTAGCTGACAAGCTGAAGCGACTCCCAGTGTTTGCTTCTTTACACAAAAGCGGCAAAAAAGCAAAACTCACCAGGATACAAATAGTAAGGAAGGCAGAACACAGCACACAGAACAAGCCCTGCAGGCTCAGGGGCTGGTGGGTGTATTGGCCAGGGCAGGCGTCTTGCAAGGAACAGGGATGAAGGGAGTAGCAGGGATGCAGGGAGCAGCAGGGCTGGTGCCTCGCGGGGCACAGGGATGCAGAGACCAACACGGCAACTCGCCAGCCAAGGCAGATGCAATTCGCGACAGCTGCTGCCTTAGCGGCCCCAGCACCCAGTGCCGGCGCCACTGCCTCTGCAGAGCGGTCTCGTCTCCGGCCATGTGGCCCCCGCGCCCCGTCCCAATCCAGCCCAGCCCGTCCGCGCTACCTTGTCCCGGCGGGGCGGCCGCTCCCAGCGCATGGCGCCCGCTCGCCCGCATCGCTCCACCGCGGACACCGGCCCACCTGGGCCCGCGCTGCGACCTGGCCCGCCCCGGGGAGGAGCCGCGAGCGCCCGGCCCGGCCCAGCCCAGCCCAGCTCGGTCCGCCCCGGGGAGGAGCCGCGGGCGCCCGGCCCGGCCCGGCCCAGCCCAGCCCAGCCCAGCTCGGTCCGCCCCGGGGAGGAGCCGCGG